AAACCCTCAACCCCAAACCTTAAACCCTACACCCTAAACCCTAAACCCTAAACCTTAAACCCCTAAACCCCTAAACCCTAAACCCTAAGCCCCCAAAGGAACCCCAAGGCCCCGATGTGCAGCCGGTGGAGGATGTGGAAGCCTCGGCTGCCGCAGTCCGCCGCTCCGTTGCCGCTCCGGTGACGGTGGCTTGGTATAATAGGGTTTAAGGTTTAGGGTTTAGGGTGTAGGGTTGAGGGTTTAGGGTTTGGGGTTTAGGGTTTATCTTAAGACTTCAGAGTTTTAGGGTTTTAGGTTTTAGACTTCAGAGTTCTAGGGTTTTGGGTTTAAGACTTCAGAGTTTTAGGGTTTTAGGATTTAGGGTTTTTCGGTTTAGGGGTTTTCGGCTGCCTATAAGGACGCCGATGTTAGGGTTGCTTGGGCTTATCGACCATACCGTAGGTGTTCAGGACCTTAGAGCCTGAACCCCAAGCCACCTACCCAACACTTGTGGATTCCTTTAGGGTTGAGGGTTCAGGGTTTAGGGTTTAGGCTCTTGGATCTGCATAGATAACTGTCAGGATCATGATCCTTTTGGGGAACCCCATATAGTTCTACTCTTCATACGGCACCCTCAAGTTTGAGAACCCCAAAAGAAACCCTAATTGGAAACCCTAAACCCTAAACCTCCCACATAGGTCAAAAGGCTCTCAAGGTTCATACGTAGTTTGAGACGTACGGGTTGATTCTTTCACCCCAAAGACCATATTGCGCAAGGCCAGAGTTTGGGGTTTTTGTTGGGTTTAGGGGGCTGTTTGCGGCCAAGGGTTCAGGTTTTCTGCAGCTCGTTTGCAAAATGCAACGACGCACCCATGAGGGTTCAAGCTAAAGGCTTCATTTTACGTCACATATGGGAAGCCCCTTTGCCCGCGGTTCTTGCCGTTCCAGCAACTCTGCCTTCAAACCCGGCTGCCGCAACCTCTTGTAAAGTAAAGGCTCGAAGAGGTTCGGCTCAAGGTTAACATTTAGGTTGCCAAAGCCTGCCTAGACTCCTCAACTACCTGTGACCCCAAACCCTTCAAAAAATAGTTCTGACCCCTTAGTTAGAGGGTAAACCCCTCAAAACTCACTGTCCATGCAGCCTTTATGAAGGACACCTTCAAGGGCTGGTGTAGGTTTGGGGGCCTTCGGCCGAGGATGCGGATGTCCTTGTCTTCGACTTCGCACCCTCCTACAACTTCAACTTTGACAGTCGCCTGGCCTATGGGGCTAGTTCCTCTGCCAATTCGGCCTAAACCCTACAACCCTGCGCTCTACACCCGCAACCCCACGAACCCTTGACGCACCATGAGCCCCAAGCACTACACTCTCGATCCTCAAACCCCTTAACCTCGAGCTAGCACATTTGGGCTTAGGAACCCACTGTAAGAGTGCAGGGTTTGGGGTTCAGGGTTCGGGGTTTATGCTGTTCAGGACTAGAGGGGTAGAGTAGTTGCGGTTCAGGGATGTTGAGGGTTTAGGGTGGCGGCGTGGGCCTTTGTGCACAAGCGGGCCCGCAGGGCACAGTGCAACATGCACTCCAGAAAAGCGAGAAACTGTAAGATAAAAAAATCCACTTTTTGGGAGACTATAACCCCCTATCCAGACACTACCATTATGGAATTAGGTCTCAAAAGGCCATCCATATTTTGGTTTTAGGGACTTAGTTCCGTAATAGTAGTATGTCTAGACCCTCTTGGCTATGTAATCCCAAAAGTCAACCATTCGCCCACCAAAATGCTGGAAAATTAGTTTGTCAATGTCCGAGAGTTTGAGGCTTTAGGCCCGTTGGGATTGGAGCTGGAAGGTGACTCGGTATAGTTTAGGCCAGAACCCGCTTAGCTAGGATTCTAGTTGTACTAGTTAATTACAGTTCTAGTTCGGACGGAAAGCCGTGATCGTGTAGATTGGGTTTTCGCGGTTGATGTGGGTTGAGGGTGCAGGCGGCTGCATCTTTCTATGTTTAGAGCAACATAGTAGGTAACGTCCCCTAAACCCTAAACCGTCGCCTACACCCTCCGCAGCCATCCGAATATCTTGAACCTTGTGGTGATAGAACCGGGTACGAAGCGTTTTAGGGTTTTTAAGTTTAGGGTTTACAGCTTCGGGTTCAGGGCTTAAGGGTTTTAGGGTTTTAGGGTTTTGGGGTTTTAGGGGTTTAGGGCTTCAGGGTTTACGGCGTTAGGGTTTTTGGGTTTAGGGTAACCCTAAACCCTAAACCCTAAACCCTAAAGCCTAAAGCCTAAAGCCTAAAGCCTAAGTTGAAGCCCTGGGAAGTCTTTGCGAGGGTTCCACTTCGACTGGGAGCTCCGGCGCAACCGCCGTGTCGCTTGGCCGACTCTTTTTGTGTATTTCGAACTAAGGGGTTTAGGGTTTATGGTTTAGGGTTATAGGTTCATACAGGCCATATAAGGTTTAGGGATTAGGGTGGATTTCGGCAGGTGTTATTTTAGTTTGTGATCGGTGTCTCTATGGTTTCGATGTTCGGCTCCCCACAGATATCGGAGTTTGCACAGGGTTCCGACAGTCTGCAGCCCTGTAAATGACTGAAGGAATGTCAACCCCTCCTTTAAAAGTAAGGCTAAGCTAACTCGACAACGTTGAGTTTCCGTATCCTAAGCCCTATACCCTAAAATCCTAAACCCTAAAATCCTAAACCCGAAACCCTAAAATCCTAAACCCTAAAATCCTAAACCCTAAGCCCTAAACCCTAGAATCCTAAACCCTAAACCCTAAAATCCTAAACCCTAAACCCTGAAATCCCAAACCCTAAACCCTAAAACCCTAAACCCTAAAATCCTAAACCCTAAACCCTAAAAACCTAAAATACTTATCCCTAAAGCTTGCAGTTCAGGGCAGAGGATTCCAGGTTCGGGGTTGAACCGCGCTGAACCGCAAGGTATAAGGGCTTGGGGTTGTAGGGTCCAGGGTTTTAGGGTTTTAGAGTTTAGGGGTTTAGGGTTTTAGAGTTTAGGGTTTAGGGCCTCATTTCCAATCCATGACGAGATTTTAACTTATCTGCAGGCGCTTCGCTTCCATCCGCGATGGCAAGCTACAGCCCAGGAGGTGAGGGAGGCGATCTTCGGTGATCAGGAGCCTCTCGATTTCTTCGTTCAAGGGAGTTTAGGGTTGATGGTTCAGGGCTTAGGGGCTTAGGGGCTTAGGGTGTTAGGTTTAGAGAGTTTCTTAGATAGCCCAGGGGAGAACTTTATTTACTTTGTGGCCTCATGGTCTATCCTAAAAAGTCTGAACTTTTTTGGGCCTGGCTGTCGAAGAACAGAGGTTTATGGTTCTGGGCCTTGGGTTTAGGGTATCAGGGGTTTGGGTTTCAGAGTTTCGGGTCTGGGGTTTAGGGTTTGGGGCAAGTTTAGGGTTTGGGGTTAAAGGGCGGTTGGTGGAAAGGGATGAGTTGTTTTGTTAGTTAATGCGCAAGCAAGAAGTTGAAGTGTCTAGTTCAGTTCCGGGTGATGTCTCTAAGTACCTAAACCCTAAACCCTAAACCCGAAACCCTAAACTCCAAACCCTAAACCCTAAACCCTAAACCCGAAACCCTAAACCGGGTTACCAGTACAGATGTAGATGTAGATACAGATACAGATGGAGATCATCCCAAGCTTCCAAGCTGACCGAAGGATGCTTCCAGTCCGTCGATCATTTCTTCTGTAGTCAACCTCAGCCTTAAGCCCAAAACCCTGAGCCCTGAACCCTAAACCCCTAAACCCTAAACCCTAAACCCCTAAACCCTAAACCCCTAAACCCTAAACCCTCAACCCCTAAAGCTCTAAACCACTAAAGCCCTAAACCCTAAACCCGATAAGGCCGAGCCCTAACGCCCTAGGAGATCGGACCCTTCTATATCTTTGATCTAAGGTTGAACCCATGAGCCCCATACCAGGGCCCTTGAGTCTTAAGGCTGGGATCCTTATATACCTACTATATACCCTATATGTACCCTTAAGGGTCCCTAGAAAGGCCTAAGGGTCCATATTAGGGGCCCATACTTCTAACCTTCGAATATCTCTGAGGTATGTAAGAATCCCAGGGTTAAGGGCCCATACTAGGGGCCCAGGGGTCCAAACTTAGATCTGAGGTATGGATCCCTAAACCCTAGACCCTAAACCGATACTTCTAACCTTCGAATATCTCTGAGGTATGTCTCGCTTCATCTGCGTCGAGATGGCTATGAGCACTTCTGCAAGGACGAGGGGAGTCGGCTGGCGCAGGGCAGGCGCGTCGTGGGCCAGGGGAAGAGGATGGCTGAGGAGTGTAGGGTTTAGGGTTTAGGGGAAAGGATAGCTGAGGAGTAGTAGGGTTTGGGGTTTAGGGTTTAGGGTTTAGGGGAAAGGATGGTTGAAGAGTAGAGGAATGTAGGCGCCTTAATAATTAGATAGATTATTTCGGGGGTTCCTTACCATAATTACAGTATAATGGGCTTCACAGCCCTATTCTAATTATGCTACGGCCCATATATTAGAGTCGGGTTTAGGGTTTAGGGATTCGAACTTTCCTTAGCCCTAAGCAACCTTAACCCTAGTGAACCCGAAAGCCTAAAATCCTAAACCCAAAAACCCTAGACCTTAGCCCGTATACACCCTACATCTGGGACATTCACAGGTGGGTAGTTACCGTTATTGGAGCCTTATAGAAGGTCTATATACCTCATAGAAGCCTTATAGAAGCCCTATATACCCGAAACTCCCCACCTGTAGTTTCCTTTAACTAAGCCCGAAACTGTGGCCTGTCGAACTTCAGAGTTGCCTGGTGATGGGTTTAGAGTTTAGGGTTTTGGATCTAGGGTCTAGGGTTTATATGGTTTAGGGTTTAGGGTCCGGGGTTTAGGGTTTTAGGGTTTAGGTGATGGGTCTGTTGCATCCGCAGTGCCTGAACTACATAGCTGCTAGCTGCTCTTTCACGCTTAGGGGTTAGGGTGTAGAGTTTAGGAGTTTCGGGTTTGGGAAATCAGCATAAGTCCAACCACACCCCCTAAACCCCAAAATCCTATAGAAAAAAGCCTAAACCCTAAACCCCAAACCCCTTTAAATCCTATAGAAAAGCCTCCAGCCCAAGCCCGAAATCCCAAAACCCTAAGCCCGCAACCTTGAGCCTCATAGCCCGAAGCCCTACTTAGAGGCCCAGGGGACTTAGTAAGTCGGTTATAAGTAAGAATATAATTAGGGTAACTCCATTTATGGTACTTATAACTCTACTTATAACCTACTTACTAAGTCCCCTGGGCCAGACAAGTCTCTTCCTCCCTAAAACCAAAACCCTATACCCTCTAAACCTTAAGTCCTAACGCCCTAAAACCCTAAAGCCGGAAACCCTAAACCCTGAACCCTAGAACCCTAAACCATAAAACCTTAAACCCTGAACCCTAAACCCTAAAACTTCGTCGGAGGGGCCGCAAGCGCTTCGGCTTCGACGCCTCCGCTGCCGTTTGCCACCCGAGTTTGGAGGCGTTAAGCTCGGGCTTGAGAGGGCTTTGGGTTTAAGGTTTAAGGCTTAGAGTTTAGGGCTTAGGGTTTAGGGGTTTAGGGTTTAGGGTTTAAGGTTTAGGGTTTAGGGTAAAGGGTTTAGGGCTTAGGGCTTAGGGTCATTTAGAGTTTTGGGTGTTTATAAACTTAGGAGTTTATAATACTGTAGGGCTTGAACTTAGATAGCCCATAGACCGTTTTACTTTTTGGCTTTTGATATTCCGTCCCTGGTAGATTTGTTGGGGCTCTGTTATTGACTAAGAGATACTAAGGACGAATGTTCCCTAGGGTTTCGTATGCTAAGTATACGATAATCAGCCCCAATGAAAGCCGCTATGTCAGACGGGTTCTATGAGTTGTTTTTTCAGGTTCTATGGGGTTCTGGGTTAGGGGTTTTTGCTGTAGAGCTTCAGGGCTTAGGCTCTAGGATTTCTATAGCTATTTTTTGGATTTAGGCAGGCGGGTTTTGCAGGGTTTAGGGTTTAGTCGGATTGAGGAGTTAAGGTTTAGGGTTCAGGGGTTAGGGTTAGGGGGTTTAGGGTTGAGGGGTAAGGGTTCGGGAGTTTAGGGTTTAGGGGTTAATTAGGGGGTTTGGGGTTAAGGGTTTAGGTGATAGGGCTTAGGGGGTTAAGCTTGACATGTCGGGCTTCAGGGTTCATTCGGATGATTTAGGCTTTCGGATCCGGGATATGTGGCTGACCCGGAAACCGCTTCTGACCTTTGTGCCTCTGTCGGCCTTGGCTGAACCGCGAAACCCAAACACCCTAAGCCAAAACCTCAAACCGTTAACACCCTGAACCCTAAGCCCAAAACC